CTTGAAGACCATGCATTTTCAACCCCCTCCCTTTTAATAATTTAAATGAACTCCCTAAAAAGAGCTCTATACCCTTTCTTAGCAGGAAGTAGCTACAGAAGAAAGATCTCCATCCATTTTCCCAACTTCTGAATTCATATTAGATAGAAATTTAATTTTAACAACAGAGAGAGGGGAATGTTAGGGTGGCCTTGAATCTACTAATTTTCTAATAACAGCTAAAGCTCAATCTTGAGCTCTTCCTACTCTTTGCTGCTTCTCTCCCAAACTAGTAGGCAACCTGCTGGGAAAGACAACAATGCCTGCTTCCCAATTGTTCTAATTTTTAATTTTTTTCCCCTTTCTCACACCCTGCCCTTCTTTTTCTTACATGTATATAATAAAATGGGTGGAATGTTAGATTTAAAGAATTCACCCACCCCAAACTTTATCCAAACCTCCTATGAAACTCACTCCTCTCCCCTTCCTAGGGGTATATTAGGCAGTAGCCTTTGCCAGACCCCTAGGGAGATGAGGGAATGAAATGTAAAAGGGGAACTTACTTTCCTCAGCCCTCCTGATAAGGATGCTTATTCCTCCTGGTTGTTCCCTAGGGAGATAAGGGAATGGAATGCAAGAAGGGAATTTACTTTCCTTATCTCTCCTAGTTGTTTGAAAATAATTTATTTACTCCCCCTAGAAAAACCTTCTATAAAACCAAAGCTCTCCCCTTTTCTCTGATGGATGCCTTTTTCAGCCTCCACCCATCTGCACCCAGATACTCAATATAAACAGCATTTGCTACAAAAAAAAAAAAAAAAAAAAAAAGCTAAGAAATTATTATGATAAGTGGTCTAGAACCAGTAAAACTCCCAGGATTCCAGTAGAGGCTAAAAATAAAAGAATCCTAGATTTCTATAAAAATTAATAACCATTGAAGATGAGAGCACTATAAAACATGTTGAAACCATGGTATAAACAACTCGATATCAGGAATAGTTAACAGAAGCAGGATACAACACATCGGATTGCTGTACACCTTTCTACCCCTTGGGGTAGAAGTAATATCTTATCACTGTAAGATACTGGGCTATAAGGACAATGGACACCTTCTAGCTTCTGCTGTTTACTGCATGTTTGCTAACCACAAGGCATTATGAGTACATTATGGAATGCAAACGAAAAAGACAAAGAACATGGAGGAGCCTCTCAGCTAGGACCAGGAACAGGTTAGAGCCTATCAGGGGCAGGATGAAGTAAGAATCACTGTGGGGGCGGATGCATGATCAGTGTGTAAACAACTTAGATATAAAAGGGTCACTAGCACACAAAGGGGGGTCCCTGCCCGAAGGAGAGGCCACTGCGCTGGCACTCTTGGGGCTCAGACCCTAGCTCGAGCTAGACAATAAAACTCCTTTTGATAATTACAGCCTCGGTGACTCTGTTTCTCTGTCCTGTGGGCCTGCGAATCTCGAATACAACATCACACAGATTCTTGGTTTGAATGTGTTACTTATTTTGGCCCATGGATGTGAAAGGAAGTGAAAGTATTCTAGTTCCAAACTGACACTTTGAGCAGCATCCTATGTTTCTACTCACCCTTTTGTAGTCTTGCCATTTGCCATGTGAAAACAATGCCCCCTAGGAAGCTGTTAGCCAAAGAAGATAAGAGACATAGGAAGCAGAATGTAACCCAACATGGCTTTGAGCCAAGGCCATTGTATCTCCAGCCTGAAAGAGCCTCTTTAGCCAACTTACAGACCCATCAATGGAGGGAAAAATGTTTACTATTGCAAGCAACAGAGATCCAAGGTGATTTGTTACAAGCATTACTGTAGTAACAACTAAATAATTCATGAGACAAACAATGCAAAACAAAACAAAATGAGAAGACTTAGCATCCCATAAATTACTGTGACCTTCCACGGTAGAGGCATTCTGGCAAGCATGTATATGGAACATAATTATCTTCATACTCTGTCCTTTCTGAAAAATCATCTCCTACATTCCCTTTTACCAATCGTACATTCATATTTTTTCAAAGTTTCTGACCACCCTACCATACCTTTTGTTATTTCCCATATGTACCTTGAGCAATCTTTCCTTTTTCAAGGAGTATTTAAAATTCTGCCCACTGGGGTGACTTGCTTTCACCTTTTCCATTTTGGAACTGGGATGCAGCCACTGTCCAAATTGTATATATATACCATTCAAATCCACTCATAAGCCAGGGCTATGATTTTTTCCCCCTTCTTTTGTTTGATGGTCATATGGAAGAACCCATGGAGCCATAAATGTGTTATGGGAACAACAGGGAATCTGCAGAAGCAGGTACAATAGGAGTATCAGAGGAGTCTGAGGCATTAGTTTATTAGTGTCTTAAGATGCTGTTTGGGTATAATGTATGTACTCTTATTTTGCAAGTGAACACTGCTGTGCACATCCAATTTTATAATTTTTAGGATTACATAGCACCCAATTCATGATGGAAAACTTATTTCTAGTTATCTCTTTTGATAGGGAAAAGATAAAACATTTACTAGATAATTGGCTGCATGTTGGATGCCAATGGCTGCCCTTTTCAGGTGGGGGATGTAGTCAGTTTATAGTGACCAAGCACAGAGGAAGGTGCCACTGCTATAAATATCCTGCCTTATTCTTCATTATGTCCCCATGGTCTCTTGCTGCTAACTCTCATTGGTTGAACCCAACAGGAAGACAGAATACGAAATAGATCTTTGATGCAGTCCATTATGAGTCAGCCTCCTGGGCCACAAAAGATATAAGTAGGGATGGGAAGTTATGGGGAGGGATGAATCTGCAGAAGTAACCAGAAGATATCTAGAAAGAAGCGAATTTCCTTATTTTTATAAAATAATATCTAAATGTAAAATAAACATCATGGTTAATGTCAAGGCTGTTAAGGACATTAAAAGTTTTTCTGTTTTATGTGGTAGAGACTTTGAGACTCTAAGGACAATGAAAATGTATAATTCTACACTTTGTAAACAAATTCATAAAATGTAGATATTATATCACATGTATATCAATATAAAAGCAGCAGATTCCTGAGAGCACATAACTTTGCAAGAATATGTTTTAAACAGAAAGCTCTTAAATAATAAAAAAATATATATATATAGCAATAATGAATTTAAATTTCATTGAAAATGTTGGTTACTTACATAAACTAAAGCAGATAAACATAAATTTCAGTTTGAAAGTAGATATAATAGTATTAATTAAAAGGCAACCCAAACAATAAATTATTACCCATGACAAGGATTTAGTCTACTGTCCAAAACACATTTATTAAGCACCTAGAATGTGCACAAATGTATCTCAATTTAATTTTATTTTAATAACCCCTTTAGTAAAACTCCACAGAGTTCCCAAACTACAATTATCTAAGTACACTTATAAAAGGTATATAATATTATACGTAAATTGATCATGAAAAAAATTAAATAAAACTAGCCCTCAACATTAACTTTTCTACTACTACTAATAAGGAAAGGTTGCAGATGACTCCTTGTGGATGTGGATGTGAGTCTGCTCAGGAATCTACTGGAATACAGAATTTCTCAGGGTGTCTATTTTGACCCTATTGTAGCCTCATTGACTCTGAAGCACCAATATATGTGTATGCTTGCATTTATAAATTACATATCTACTTTTTTTTTTTTTTTTTGAGACAGAGTCTCACTTTGTTGCCCAGGCTAGAGTGAGTGCCATGGCGTCAGCCTAGCTCACAGCAACCTCAAACTCCTGGGCTCAGGCGATCCTCCTGTCTCAGCCTCCCAAGTAGCTGGGACTACAGGCATGTGCCACCATGCCCGGCTAATTTTTTGTATATATATTTTTAGTTGTCCAATTAATTTCTTTCTATTTTTAGTAGAGACGGGGTCTTGCTCAGGCTGGTTTTGAACTCCTGACCTTGAGCAATCCGCCCGCCTCAGCCTCCCAGAGTGCTAGACATACCTACTTTTGTATTAGTAGATCATGCACACTATAAATTCTATTCATACAGAGAATTACAGAAAGAATCAAATTTAAAAATATAAATACAAATTCTAATCTTTTCTTAAACTCCCTGGAATGTACATACTGTAAACATTCTGAAACCACAGTTTCAGAGGACTTATGAAATTATAACAAAGGTGTTAGGATTGCCACATTATGACATCTAATTTGAATTAATGACTATTGTCCTAGGGTAATAATAATATTCTTTTATCTCTCAAAGATTTCTTGGTTTAAATGATAGATTAGAAGGGCACCCTAATAAAAAAAAAAACTTATAAAGCATGTGCATACTAAATCAAAACTTACCTTATGAAAGGATAAAAAACTCCCAGCTTCAGGCAGAATCTGGGAGTCGGAAGTGTTTTGATAGCCATGTTTGTATGACAAAAAAAAATCCCATATTTTTAGATTCTTTAATCCTTCCCCATAGGTCCCTCTGTGATCTAAAAGAGTTTCATTCTTAAACATTTATTACTTGCATAACTCTTGGAAACATTTTAGACTTCCATACCTACTAGAAGTTTCCAAAGCAAATTTAGTATTGAATTTTCAAAAACAGATGCATGTAGTTCCTAAAATATTACTTAGAACTCTTTCAATTTTCCTAGATTTAAAAATGTGGCCAATGACACTAACTGGAAATCACTTTAAATTCCCAAATTTCTAGGAACTCAAACACTATAGTCATTGTAGGAAATACATGCTAAATTTTTGCATACCCCTTGGGTACCACAAATGCCATGGAATTTCTAAAATTCCAGACCCAAAAGACAACAGTCTAGATTTGCTCAGTGCAATTTCAGTTTATGTGAACTAACTGAACTAATGTGAACCTAGCATTATTTTTAATAGCATATTTCAAAAGTGCCCTAGTTTGTATGCAAAATAATATGGTCACTCTAAATAGAGGTGACTTTTTTTAATGCAGAGCTGCAATCATTTATCTGTGCCTCTCCAATAGAGTAACTGGCAATATGAAAAATCCTTGTTATTACCTCTCTGCACAGCTAACGGGAGTTCTTCAAGTTTCCAGATTGACCAAGAGTCAATTTTTGTGTTTAGCAGTGTCTTTCTTGATCTTTGTTTCTGTAAAGCTTCTTCAGCTTCTGCCCGGTCAGTTTCTAGACTTTTAATGAGATGGATGGCCTCTGATAGTAATGTTTCCATTTCCTGCTTTAATTCTGGACACGTTTCATCTTAAATAGGAATGTGTATTCACATTTGTTAATAAATCAGTCCATATGCCAGGTGAGAGGATTATTAGTTACGGTATTACTCTCTTAAATATTTATATACTTAATGAGAATATTAGATAAATGAATTACCCTTTTAAAAACAGTTTTCTTTGTAATTTAATCATAATATTGATCATAACCTTTGAAAATATATTTTTAATAAATAATTTATTGAATCCAATATTTTCAGCAATAATATCATTTTATCTGAAGGGAAAAAAACACATGTCCTAGTAACAAGTTTTACTATAGAGCTTTATTTTTTTTTTCTCCCAATTTAGCAATGGATAGAGCTTTATTTTTAATTTATGTTGTTTCTTTTCATTGTATAAGAAAACAAATCATAATAAATGCATCAGATAAATACTGAAAATCCTTAGATTCTTGTTCCTAAAAACAAGATATTTTATATCCTTCAATCTTATCAGATAATAACTTATTTACTGGCCTTGCTAGGAATTCATCAGAATTTCCAAATCCTGTGTATTCAGTTATAATACAAATTAACTCCTTTAATGAGAGATATTTTTGATTCCCTGAATCACAGTTCTGGAATGATATGGCTTAATGTAACAAAATTATTCCCATGGGTATTTATGTGGCTATTCATGAAAAAAAAATGTATACAGAGCCTAATACGTTTCAGGGAGCATGTTGTCTCTTGGAAGTAAGAAAGGTAAGGAAGACAGATATGAGTACTATCCTTGTGGGATTTATACCTATAAACAGTGACTTTTGCCAAAATGTGATATGACAAGAATATATAAACACAAAGTGTCAAGAAATACAAGGCCCCCAAAGAGCTAAGGCTGAAGGGAAAATACTGAAACTGGATCAAGAAAAAAGGGAACTAATAAAGATTTTTTGTTTTGTTTTGCTTTTGGACAATAAAGATAATAATTATCTGTTAGATGGTAGCATCACGTAACAGTTACAAGCACAAGTTCAACAGTCACACAGTTGCTACTTTTAATCTGTTGGACTTGTCAAAGAAATTATGCATGCTGCCTCAAAAGAATTCTTAAGAAACACGTGTATTTTAATGTACAAAAATGATTTTCTCTGGACTGGTCCTTTATTTGGACTTTTTGAATCTATTGTTTTCTTTTGTCGAATTCTACTACATTTGGACACTTTACATTGCTGTCTTTTTTTAATGAAAATACATTCATTAAATACTGTGTTCTCCAGCCAATTTATGATTCATTCTATAATCAACTTCTATAACAAAATTTCAGTCTGAATCATATGAATAAGTTAATACGACTTATACTTGAAACACTGATTGGGTATACACATGTTTTACCAAAGTTATTCATTATGTTTGTATGTTGTTTTTTATACTGTTCTATAATAGCATCCTAAAATAAATTATATATATATAACTTGGGGTGCTTCTAATATATTGTATTTAACAGCTCTCTCAATTTTTTTCCTGAATGCTATCTCAATTAGTTTTATTGTTTCATATTGACTAAGTGAGCAACTATCTGCAAGTTTTTAACATAAACACTTAATTACAATAAATCTCCCTCATCCTGCTACTGTTTTGCATTTTGGACCCAAATGTACATATTTATAATATACATAATTATAGTTCATTTAACTGTGATTGTGACCATTAATATATTCATCTTTTCTTATAGCATATTTGTCATATGAAAACTTGGTAAGTAATGACTGAGGTTTTCATCTTCATTGTAGATACAAATATTGATAGTTAAAAGAAAAACAGTAAAACAGCCTTGTTATGAATGAAAGCTTTGACAAACTATTCTTGCTGTAAGAAAGTTCTAAATTTATTGGCTATTCTTTACTGACAGTTTTTAGGAAATTTTTAATGGTGAGAGGATGAGGAGGTGTTTAATAAAGTCTCAAGAATATATTCAAATATGTTCAAGTAATTTTAACACAAATCTAAGCCAGTATATAAATTATTGTACATTTTATAAATAATGACAAGACTATTAATCATAACATGTTACAGCTGAGATATCCAATAATGATAGCATGATCCACATGTAACTATTTACATTTATATGTAAGTAAATGAAAATTAAACCTAAAAATCAAGTTCTTCACTCTCACTAGCCACATTTCAAGTTAAGTGTTCAATAGCTATATGTGGCCAGTAGCTTTTCTATTGGACAGTACAGATACAGAACACTGATTATCACAGAAAGTTCTACTGGACAACACTCAACTACATTAACTTTGTGAGAGGTGGACAGCCATCATTATATATTCAGTATCTAGACCAGTATTTGGTATATAATAGTCATTAATAAATATTTGTTGAATGAATGCTTAATCAAATGATACAGAGGACTCTTTATTATATACTCATAAGAATTATAAACCTTTTAAAGATGATTATGGTGACAATTAGAAATATATTAAATAAAAAGCCAATGAACTTTTAAATAGAATTACATTTATTTAAGTATAAGAAACAGTTTTACCTCTCCTTTCTTCTGGTTTGACTTCTTCCACTGGTGTAGTAGTACCCCTATCTTCTTTCAGATCTTTTGTGGAAGAAGTTCTGCTCCTGTATAATGGGAAAGAAGCAATTAATCAATAAAAACGGGCTGTATAAGTTAGTAAAAAATGTTTAGGTGCTCTTTCATCGAATTTTAAATATTTGTTGTGAAATTCTCTATACTTGATAATCTTATCAGATAGAAGACTAATCAAAATTCTAACAGTTAATGGGATTTATACTTAATGGTAAATTAATAGAAACTCAAAATTTCTTTCTTTCTGTCTTTTTTTTTTTTTTTTTTTTTTGACAGAGTCTTACTCTGTTGCCCGGGCTAGGGTGCCGTGGCGTCAGCCTAGCTCACAGCAACCTCAAACTCCTGGGCTTAAGCAATCCTTCTGCCTCAGCCTCCCAAGTAGCTGGGACTATAGATAGGCATGTGCCACCATGCCCGGCTAATTTTTTCCATATGTTTAATTGACCAATTAATTTCTTTCTATTTTTAGTAGAGACAGGGTCTCGCTCTTGCTCAGGCTGGTTTCGAACTCCTGAACTTGAGCCATCCGCCCGCCTTGGCATCCCAGAGTGAGTACTAGGATTACAGGTGTGAGCTGCCGGCGCCTGAACTCAAAATTTCTTTAGAGGATATTAAAGCTGTGGTTTTTTAAAGACATTAGTCTTTCCTAGAGCATGTTTCAATAAGGAAAAGGAAGTGTACTGAAAATAATCCGAGTGACCTATTTCTGTAATTTCAGTTTAGCAGTTTCTGGGGAATCAATGTAAATGACAAGAGCAAAAGTACTATTTCAGATTTAAAATTAAGAAGCTTTTAGAAAAATATCTAAATTAAAATGTCATTTCCTTTCTAAAGTATCTTTATACCTAGAGTTCTATATGTTGAATGACAAAATATTTCTTATTATCAGTATTTCTCTGGTCCTATTCTACTATTTTAGAATCTTAAAATGGCCTTCATTGTATTTTTTAAGCAGTATTTTTTCTCTGATCAAAATTATAAGAAAATTCGTATCAAAACAAAGCAGAGAATTTCTTTTTGAAATTGATATTAAATTATTAATATTTTCTGATAAAGAAGTATTACATATTAATTTAAGAAATCTGTATAGATACCAAAAATCATAAATATGAAATAATTCATATTCATTCACTCTCTTCAGAGATTATGTAGAATATAATAGTCTAGTGATATTTCAATTTTTATAAAATTAGAGTCATGGAATTTTATAACCTGCTTTAGTTACATGTCACTGTATCCAGTGTATTTTACTACCATTTAATATTTCTAATGGCTGTATATTTTTTGTCTTTTGGTGTTCCACCATTTATTTGGAAAAGCCTGTCTATTCCAAGGTTAGAGAAATATTAATTATATTTTCTTCATTTAGTTTTAATTTTTATTTTAAAATGTGTTTGTTGAAAAATGTGATGTATTTTTTCTTATTTCTTTGTTTTTTTAAAAAAATTAAACATAATTGTTCCAGCATCAATTAGTAAGTAATGATTTCTCTGTAGGCTTTTAATGCCAATTATATAATATGGTAAATTATTATACATAATTAGATCTATTTTTGTGTATTCTTTTCTAAAGTTCAGTTAATTCTTGAACCAGTGAAATTCTATGTTAATTCTTCTATTCTTTTTTATTGAGGCAAAAGTCGCATAACATAAAATTAACCATTTGAAAGTACAAACTTTAGTGACATTTTATTGTTATCCATTGCCAATGTTGTACAAACATCATCCTATCTAGTTCCAAAACATTTTCATCACTCCAAAAGAACACTCCTACTTACTAAGCAATCTCTACTCTTTCCCTAACCCATTAGTCCCTAGCAACAACTAATCTTCTCTGTCTCTGTGGATGTACCTATTATGGATATTTCACATAAATGGAATCAGGTAATATGGAATCATATAATAAGTGACCTTTGTGTCTGTCTTCTTTAACTTAGCATAACTTAGCATAATAGTTTTGAGGGTTATTAATGTTGTAGTATGTAGAAGAACTTCATTTATTTTTATAGTGGAATAATATTCCATTGTGTAGATAAAACTTGCTTTGCCTATCTATTAATCCACTGATGGATTTGGGGTTATTTCCACCTTTTGGCTATTGATAATATTGATGTTATGAACATTTGTATACAAGTTTTTGTTTGAACACCTGTTTTGAGTACTTCTGTGTATACACCTTGGAGTGAAATTGCTGGATCATATGGTAATTCTAGTTTTCAACTTTTGAAAAGTCAACAAACTTTTTCACAGTGTCTAAATCATTTTATATACACTAGCAATGTACAACAGTTCCAATGTTGAATAAAAGTGGTAAGAGCAGGCATCCTTATCTTGCTCCTAATCTCAAGTTGAAAACTTCCACTCTTCACCATTAAGTAAACACAACATAAGCCAAAGGTTTTTCATAAATGTTCTTTACTGTGTTTAGGAAGTTCCATTACAATCTAGTATTATGAAAGATGTTGGCTTGTCACAAGTTTTTCCTACCAATTGAGATGTTCACATGGTTTTCTCCTCTATTTTATTAACATAGGATATTACATTAATTAATTTTTGTATGCTCAACCTTGCATTCCAAAGATAATAAATCTCACTTGATTATCATTTATAATAATGTTGCTGGACTCAGGTTGCTAGTATTTTGTTGAGGATTTTGGTATGCATATTCACAAAGATATTTGTTTACAGTTTTCTTATTATATCTTTATTTGATTTTGGTGTCAGGTTAATGCTGTCTTCATAGAATGAGTTAGAAGTGTTCCCCCTTCTCTTCTATTTTCTGAAAGATTTTGAGAAGGGTTGATGTTAATTCTTTCAATGTTTAATAGAATTTACCAATGAAGCTATTTGGTTCTGGGCTTTTCTTTGTTGGAAAGTTTTTGAGTATTCATTCAGTCTCTTTATTTTTTATAGGTCTGTTCAGATTTTCTACTTTTTCCTGAGTCACTTTGCTAATTTGGGGTTTAGCTTACTCTTCCTTATCTAGTTATTTAATGTATAAAGTTAGGTTACTTGATTTGGGATCTTCTTTTTAAATGTAAGCATTTATAAGCTCTAAAGTTTCCTCTGTGTACTACTTTTGTTGCATTGTCAACTTTTAGTATATATTGTGGTTTCATTTTCATTTATCTCAATGTGTTTTCTAATTTCCCCTATGATTATTGTTTTGATCCATTGATTTATAAAGAGTATTTTGTTTAATTTCCACATATATGTAAAATTTCTAGGTTTCCTTCTGTTACTGATTTCTAGTTTCATTCTATTGGGTCAGAAAAGATACCTTGCATGATTTCATCTTTTTAAACTCATTGAGATATTTTTCATGGCCTAATATATAATCTATCCCAGAGAATGTTTCATGTGTATATGAGAAGAGTGTGTTTTCTACTGTTGTTGGGTGGAATGTACTACATAAAGTGGTAGGTCTAGTTGGTTCTAGGGTTGTTCCAAGTCTATTTCCTTACTGATGTTCTGTTTAGTTCTTTTATCCATTATTCAAAGTGGGGCAATGAATTCTCAAACACTTATTATAGAACTGTCTGTTTCTCCCTTCAACTGTGTTAGTATTCTTCATGTATTTTGAGGTTATGTTGTCAAGTGAGTATATCTATAATTTTTATATCTTGTTGACTGAGTAACAAATTTATCAATATATCAAGTCTTTTTTGTCTTCTATAACAAATTTTGATTTGAAGTCCATTTTGTATGATATTGGTATAGCCACCCTGGCTCTTTTGGGGTGACTATTTGCATTGATTATATTTTTTCATACTTTCACTTTCAAACTACTTGTATCTTTGGATCTCAAATGATTTTCTTATAGATAGCATATAGTTGGATCATGTATTTTTATACATTCTACCACTCTGTACCTCTTAATTGGAGAGATTAATACATTTTATATAAATCAGTTACTGTCAAGGAAGAACTTATTTTTGTCATTTTGCTATTTATTTAGTATATTATTTTATCTTTCTCATTCCTCAACTCCTCCATAACTGCTGAGGAGATTGGGTGTTTGTTAAAATACTCCTTCAATGCTTATCCAGGCTGTTTACAATCCTGCTTTTGCCTTCAATTCCTCCCTGTGCAAATCCTAAAGTTCTGCTAGAAGTAAAAGATTAGAGTCTTCTCATGTCTTTTCTGAGCATATTTCCAGCCCTCATTATATCTGTGTCCTTTTTTTATATAAATTTTATATTTGTTATTATTTTTTTATATTTTATTATTAGTTTTTTTCTTTTCGTTTTTTTTTTTTTTTTTTAGATAACAGGCCATCCAGTCGTATGTGTCCTTCTTAATTTCCCAATATATTGAGAGCTTTGAATAACCCCATTCCCTTGTGTATCTTTTCCCAAACTCTTTCTTCTCAGGCATTTTGGCCTGTCTAATGTTTGTCCCAGCTGTTATCCATAGCCTCAGGCTGCTTGTGGCAAGTATATGCCTTTAAATGCTTTTAGCAAACATTGCCTGGAAGCAGCCCCAACCCTGTGATTGCTCCAAGTCAGGCAAAACAAAGACACGTCTTTTTTGCTGGTTCCTCAGGGAGCTGTCAGACAGGTCAAAACACTCAAACACAATTCTTTCAGAATAAGGTCCCTATTGTTCTCTCTGGTACTAGCAATCTGCACCACAAGTATGCATTGCTCTCTTCATAGCTACCACCAATCCGTGGGTTGAAAGATGGTGAGCAGGGAATTTAAAATGTCACAGTGCTCTATGAATGCAATGCAGCAGCTTCTTTCTTCATTAGATTTTCCCCGGGTGGTTGTGAATTTTTGAGTAGATTCCAGATTTCTGCAAAAGTTGATTCTGACCAACATTTTGCAAGCTTTATATTTGTTTTTGTGGAGGGATCAAACCCTGGAGACCCCTATTCTGCCATTTTCAATGATATCCTAATTCTTATATTTTTAAAAACACATTTTAATATCTAATATGGAAAATCTTGCATTCAATTACCTGTTCCTTTTGAACTAAACTGTACTATAGCAGTGATCGAACTTTTAACATTAAAAATAAAACAATAAAAGCATGAAAGTTTCTTACCATTCTTCAAAAGAAGTTTCAAACTGTCAAAATAAAAGATCTAAATAAAAATCAAATTTTAAACATCTGAAGAAACAGTTGGTAAACTTAATTTAAACTTGAACTCACTGATAAAACTGTCAAATCTCTACAGCACATACGTCACTATATTGTTGTCTAATTATACTTTCTGTTGTTACCCAAACAGGTGTATACTTCTACGTATTTCTATCCTTTTATTATTACTCCCATCTAATTTTACTTACCTTTTATCTCTGTGATTCCATTAATAAATATTATCCCTTTGTCAAGGGCCAGTTAAAATGCCAATTATTCCCAAAAGACATTGCATATAATCAGAAGTCCATGATATCTGTTGAATTTTAATGTATTACCAAAGTGTGGTAAACACAAAATTATATATGGGTTTACAAATATTTAGTTTTGCATGATATTATGCCTTTTCTGAACTATAAAGTCCTTGGCAGGGGTCATGTTCTACAAATATATCCTAATAGTCCCTTGGGTCATAAGAAGCATAAATTACCAAAAACATAAAGTCAGAATGTTATGGGTTTCATAGATCATCTCAAATTCAAGATATTACATTTGGCATATGTGATTACTTCTCTTCAATTCCCATGCCTACCAAAATCATCTGAAAAAAAAAAAATATATATATATATGTATATCCATAGTCCCATGTCATGTAATGACAGGGATACATTCTGAGAAATGTTTTGTTGGCAATTTCATCATTGTGCAAATATCATAGACTATACTTACACAGACCTAGATACTATATCTTACTTCTTACTATATACCTAGGCCATATGGTATTGCTCCTAAACCACAAACTTGTATAGCATATTACTGTACTGAATACTGCAGGCAATTTTAAGACAATGGTAAGTAACTGTGTATCTAAACATATCTAAATATATAAAAAGTACAATAAAAATATATATTGTAATCTTATGGGACCATCATTGTATATATGGCTCATCGTTGACCAAAATGTCCTATGTGGTGATGAGTATATATATACATATATATATATATATATATATATGTGTGTGTGTGTGTGTACAAAAACACAGAAAACATAAAATAATAAAATCAGTGAAATAGATATTTTAGAAGAATTTCCAGAAATAGAAAGTGATCAGATTAGACAGATAGTAAAAATAGAGCAAAGAAAAATGCTCAAAATAGACAAACGGAAAAGATCTCAGGATATATTAAAGGCTTCTTTATGGCTCATGAGGAATTCCCAGTTTGTGAGGATAAGCCGGTAACAATCAATATAAATATTGAAGGACTACCTGTGGATGAGATGGGCCAGTCAGTCTTATTGCAGTCCATCCACAGAATCTAGAATATGTGGCTGAAAAGTTGCTTTCTAGTCATTGCCAGGAAAAGAGCTCTCTAACCACACTGAAGATCTACCTATGATAACCAGTCATCCAGCATGGAGGTTATTGTTCTACAGAGAAACAAAATACAGCCTGAGTAACTAGTAGAATCTCACAATAAATATAAACAAGTGAGAGAAAACAAGGGCAGATTCAACCAGGAGTGAAATATTCTAAAATGACAAATCAAAAGTAAGCTTATCTGGCAAAATTAGAGGCCCTGATTTTCTTGCCTGAACATATTACCTCTTATTTACAAAGAGTACAAGTAAAATTTTCTATTTACTAGAAAAAGCTTTTGACATAAGCAAACTCTGACAGCTATTAAAAAAACAAAGAAACCAACAAAAAAACAAAAAAATATATGCTAATGATCATTAATCAGTCTGGTCTATACATATACAAAAGACAATGAAGAGTACATAAATATGTGAAGAAAAATTGGAGTGTTAAAAGTAAGAAAATTTACTTCAAATCTAACAAAAATATTGGAATGAACAAAAGTAAATATAATAATAATATAAGGCATATGTCTCTTTTCTCTATAATGTTAAAAAAAAGAAAATTTAGTACAAGAATGTCAATATCCAAATATGAAATAGAGTAAGTTATGATTTCAATAAGTTATGATTTCATTTCATTATTATAAAATGTTCATGTCAAATAAATGGAGATGGAAAATAATTAAATGAATGATATTAGAGTAATGTGAATAATTATTTGCAAAAGACAGTATTGTATCTGCTTCATCCTGTAAACAAACTTCAGATAGTTTAAAAGATCTAAATACAAAAATTAAAAAAATATGAAATAATAAAACATTTTAATAATATTTATATGAGGAAGATACTTTTAAACAATACAAACATCCCAGAATTTATAATACAACTTATCTGGCTACATTCAAATTTCTATATGAAAAAATGACTAAGTTAAATGACTCGTACAAGCAGAAAAGCTAATTGCAATTATATAGAAAATAAGATTATAATCAACATTTGTATAGATATATAAAAATAAGAGAAAAATTTTAAAAAATATATGAGCAGATTAATAGAAAATTAAATGCAAATAGCCAAAAAGCATGAGAAACGACATGCTAATTATGTATATATTTATCTATATCTGTGCTCATGCATGCACGATTACATACATACATATACATAAATTATATTAAGTAAATATGTCACAAAACCGCTAATTAAACAATATTATAGTCATCAATTTGCTTGTATTCCCCATTGTCTCCTACCCAATCCTTTCCTCTAAACAAGTTGTGGCATTTGCTATACTGTTGGAATTTTCTTCTGCTAATAGTATAATAGATTCAGTGGAATCTAAAAAACTCTGAAAGAGACTAAGTTCATCTACATAATAAAAAACTAATGAATGCAGTTCTTCTGAAAAACCCAGTGGTTTTTTTTCATGTAATGTGACAACTTATTCTAAAATTTATATGGAAGAGCAATATACCAACAATACTCAAAGAACTCCAAAAAGGAAAAACAAAGAACTACTATACCAGATATCAAAACATATTATAAAGCATGGAAATTAGTAAAATAAGGTATAAAAATAGGGAGGTAAAATTGACCAGTAGGATGGAGAAGCCAGAAATAGATAAAATCATATATGAAAATTGATGATAGATGGCATAGATGATTTCTTGGAAATCACTGTATTTGCAATAAAATCAATATTGAGAAAAATAATTTTCCTTATTTTAAAAAATAAAATTAGATACCTAGTCCATTCTTACATGAAAAAAAACTAGTTTCCCATTGTTAAATTTCAAATAAAAGCCTAAAATTTTAGAAGATATAATGGAAAATTTTATATGACTGCATTATGAAAAGATTTCTTAAATAAGACCTAAACACTTAAAATAAGGGCAAAATGATAAATTTAATTGCATTAAAACTAAGAGCCTTTTTACTAATCACAACATGTATAACTTAATCAAGGTAATAAGTTGTTCTTACAAGTCAATAAGAAAATGTAAGTAAATCTGAAAGAAAATGGGCAAAAGATAAACAGGCATTTTGCAGAGAAGAAAATGAACCTTTAGTGAGCATATTAATGGATTCTAAACTACTGGATTATAAGGAAAATGCTATCCCTTGGTTTTAGAAACTGGCAACTGAGAGTCCTGCATAATGCAGAAACCTACATCAGGTTGATTTATATGACAGTTCTAAGAAGCCATTTGAAGTTGAAGTATCACAAGAGAGTCAGGAGGAAATTGGTTAAGAGGCACTTCAATGAATTGTGACATAATTATATCAAAAATTTAAAGTCCTTAACAAGTGAGTAATGCTTAATTAATATTCTCAGTTTGATCCTTTTAATACTGTAATAGAAGATGATTTGTTTTATAAAGATAAAAATAGATTACCCCAATTTTTCTAAGTAGAGTATAATTTATTATGGAGAAACATTTTAGGGTACTATATCAAAACATTACCCTACCAACATTTTTTGTAGAAGTAAGGAAGAAATAAGAAAAAATTATGTGAGGCAACAAAATTTCAGGTACCTAGTATTTAAGTACTATTTATTTGGGATATTGAAATGATCAACATAGGGAAGACCTACAATACAGGAGACAAATCTGAAGCATTACTAAATTCATAACTGCCTATTTGAAATATAGTTTTAATAATCTCTCCAAGTCACTTTAAATTGTTATTTTAAATAAAATGCCTGATTATAATTAATCTTGAAATTTCATTTATTGTCACAAATATTTGTGTTATTTAGAAGCTCTGATTTAAATATCTAATACAGGCCTGGAGTGGTGGCTCACGCCTATAATCCTAGCACTCTGGGAGCCAAGGCAGGTGGATTGCTCAAGGTCAGGAGTTCGAAACCAGCCTGAGCAAGAGCAAGACCCCATCTCTACTATAAATAGAAAGAAATTAATTGGCCAACTAATATATACAGAAAAAATTAGCCGGGCATGGTGGCACATGCCTGTACTCCCAGCTACTTGGGGGCTGAGGCAGTAGGATCGCTTAAGCTCAGGAGTTTGAGGTTGCTGTAAGCTAGGCTGATGCCACAGCACTCATTCTAGCCTAGGCAACAAAGTGAGACTCTGTCTCAAAAAAAAAATTTTTTTTAAATCTAATATAATAAATTATATCCAACAAACTCCAAAATCCCCTATATTCTTATTTCTGTCTTTTTCAGAAGAGTAAAAAGTAACAGAGGTTGGAGGGGGCCTAAAACTGTCAAACTGGACCTAGTTTAAAAAATTATCACTTTATAGGGAAAAATGAAACACTTCATTTATTTATAGGTCTAAACAACATTGCCCACAAATTCTTACTTGATACCTCTAACATTTTCATTGAATCTGTATTTTTAACTCTGTATTTCAATTGGAAATTATTACCAAATATTTCAAGTATTTAAATTTTATTTTTGAGACAAAGAAAGTATTCATCAAACCTTCTATTTTCCACTGTAAAAATTAGAAAAATTTAACTTCATGTTAGGAATTTCCTTTTGTATTTTGAAACATTTGTAAATATGGCGTATTAATACTGAATACTATGTCTATAATCATGGCAATGAAACTAAAGAGGACAGGAAAGAATTGTAAGAAATTCCAAAGACAGAGTTATCAC